TGGCTCCTGTTCTGTGTTGTTGTTTTTGCCATCTGTTAGATTATTTTAGCCTGGGCTGTCTGTGTGATTCAATGTTTTTAGCTGTTTTTATGTTTTTCCTAGTTTTGTATGCCACCCAGAGTCCTTTGGAGTTGGGTGGCCAATAAATTTAAATCAATCAATCAATCAATCAATCAATCAATACTTTAAGTTCCTAAACTTGTAATTAATTTTTTGTTTATTTGTTTAGAGTTGAAAATAAACTCACCCAATGAAGACTTCTCAAACCTGTTGTTCCTAAGATCTCTAATAGCTTTAGAATAGTTAATAGGCAATTTCTGAAAGTGATTAGAAAGTGAGGTTTGCGACCTTAGTGTCCTTTAAAAGTCTCCACTGCAGTTGTGAGCAAGATGGCTAATCCCATCATCTCCTGGCACTCAGACCCATGGAAAACCACTTTCCTATGGTCTCCTCGTGAGGAACAGCTGTCCAGAGCATATTTGGGCAATCTCCCGTCCTCTCCTTATCCAGAGAGATTCCAAGGAAGTGGTCTGCTCACTGGTTCCTTGGTCTTTGCCACAGTCATCAGCTCTGCTTTCACAGAGCCATATTCAATTCGGCATACCTCCCCCAGAAGTCCCAGGTTTTTTGGATTTTATTCTAATGAATTAGCATATCTGTGAAGTTTCACCACTGGTAATTGATTTAAATTCCCAGGTATTTGAATTAATGTTTTTGGAGATGTGCCAGAATTTGAAATAATAAATAACAAAATTATGTTTACAAATAATAATTTATAGCTCATTAATTACAAAACATAAAATATAAACTTATCAAACTGTGCATAGCATAATCCCCTTATGTGGTAAGGAGAAGGAGAGAGGTTATTACACCTTCAGATAACCAGGGCTGTGCCATGAAGGATTTTATATGTGATGATCAGGAACTTGAATTATTGCTGGAGGTACACTAATAATCAGCATATCTTGTGCAGCTGAAGTGTTACTTGGGTGTACTGCTGCATTCTGAACCATCTGTAGCTTCCAAGTGGTCTTCAAGGTCAGTCTCATCTAGAGCACCTTACAATGCTGTACACGAGGTGAATAGGGCATGAGTGACTTTTGAAAGGAGCTTTCCAGTCCAGGAAAGTGTGGAGTTAGCATACCAGATGAATTTGTGAGGAAGATTCTCCTGGCCACAGCTGCTACCTGCTATTTGAGCAGAAGCTGAGAATCCTGGAGGATCCCCAAATTGTATGCCAATTCTGTATGGGGAAGTACCACCCCATCAAGAACAAAAGATAAAGAATTTATTGCATCAGGAGAATCATGTACCCATACCGACTTGATTGTGTCAGGATTGAGTTCAAACCTTTTCTTTCTCATCCACACCTGAACATCCTTGAGGCACTGGGGCAAGACTCTTGCTCAACCAAGAGTCAAGATATACCACTGAGTATCATCAGCACCCTGATTATTCCAGATCCCATGACAACAGATGACCTCACCCAATGGTTTAGTGTAGATATTAAACAGGAGAAGCAAGAGCTTCAAGCACTGAAGCATGATTCAGACAAGAAGCTCTGGGCTTAACTCCCCCCTTCTGTCACACTGTCTGCAGCTGGCTATGGAAAAAGGAGGAAAAGCACTACAACACTATGTCTCTCACTCCCAAACCCTGTAGCCAGTTCAGAAGGATCTTCAGATGATATTGAAAGCTACTGAGAGATCAAGAACCACCAGGATGATCATACCATTACCATCTCGGTTCCAGCAAAAGTCAAAAAACAAGTGCAATTGGTGCTGTCTCCACATTATGTCTTGACCTAAATCTGACTGAAATAGATCCAGATAATCCCCTTCTTCCAGAGCCCTTTGGAGTCATAATTCAACTACCTTTCAACAACCTTCCCTGCAAAGGGTAGGTGAAAGATTGATGAAAATATCCAGAACTGCTGAGTACAGCAATGGCTTCTTGAAGAGAGGATATACCATTGCTTCCTTCAAGGCAAGTGGAACTACCTCCTCTCTCAAGGGTGAATTTACCCCCATGTGGATATTTGGCATATGGTTTTTAATGGCCTGGCATGGTTGCAGTTCTGCTGGTGTGAGTTGGCATATGGAGTGAGAAAAAGGGAGAAGCAGCTCAGTTCTGGCCTAGAAGGGCAGCTGTGCTGTCATGAGGGCTGATAAGCTGACCTGGCTGCTAGCCAGGGCGCTTGTGGGAAGATGTAGAGACAGCAGTCCCATTGATTCAGCCTGGTATATAGGTGTTGGGGACTAGAGCCCTGCAAGGGGGATGTACCCACCTCCTTAGTTGCTAGGGGAAATGCTGCTGATCTGACTAAAAGTTGAAGAGAGAAAGAAGGAGAGGAGAGAAAAAGGCTGTGAAATGGAGTGGCTGGAGAGAAAAGTTGGGGAGCGAAGTTATGAGTGTGTGCAGAGCAGTTGCTGGTTCCTGGTCAGGGAGGTAGAAAAAAGGTCCATGGGTAGCTTCCCTGGAAGAAGGAAAGTGAAGACCCAGAGAGAGATCTTCTACCAAGGCCTGAGATGGGAAGGAAGGAGTTGTTGGTTGTTGGTAAAGCCCTGGTTTCTGGGAAAGGATTGTGCAGAAGACCCTGAGAGAGGTCCTTCCCCCAACAAAGAAGCAGTAGATATTTAGCTGAGCAGATCCAGGAGAAAGTCAAGTCATGCTGAGCACACTATAGTGAATCCAGCCTACTCTTTTCCTTTCACTCTCTGTTTTGATAAGCCCAGAAGCTGGGCAGGGAGTTAGAGTGAAAGGGGGAGGAATCAGGAGAGCTAGATGGGGATAGTCTCTGGGAGGGAGACCTAAGGGGAAACCTGACACCAGGTGAACACCAGGATTGTATTGTATATACCTGTTGTAAATACTTGTACGTTGCTTCACTGTAAATAATAAAAAATGTATAAAAGACTGTGTCAGTTGCCTTCCTTGCAAACCAAAGCACACCTCCAGTTCAAAAAAGCTCATCACTCTATGACAGGATCCAACAGCATGTTACTTCCTGGGAGGCCTTAATCAACCAGAATGGACATAAATCTAATAAACGGATGGCTGGACCAATGGTTGTGAAGATCCTCTCCACTTCTTTAAGAGTCACAGGATCAAGCACTTCCCTAGTAACAGGCAAGAGTATATCTCAGCCAATTCAACAGGACCTGCCCAGTCAAACTCACAGTGGATCTGAATGATTTTATTTGCCAGATTTCACAGCAGCCCTGCAGATATTCATGTGACCTATCCTTCCCCAGCAGGGCTGCTAGCTGGCTATCAGCTAATGCAATAGAAGCAGAAAAATAACTTTATTTAGCTCCTCTTATTGCCACAATGTAATTCCTAAGTGGGGCTTTTGCACATGTCTGGTTGGTTTTTTTCTTCATCATTTTCCAATAACACTCTAGGCATCTCTTCTGTCATTTCATCTGCCAAAGCCCTTCAGGAAGCCCCATGGGATTGATGAACAGGGTGAGACCATATGAGCGCAATCTGATTCAAGGCTCTTGTCATATACCCATTCCAGGTGAAGATTAAAGCCTCTAACTGCCCACCAGTTCCCCAGGAAAAACCCCAAGCAGCCTTTGAAACCTATCCAAGGCCATTAGTCACCTTGAATAAACTGAACAAATAAATCCTACTTCCCTGCCATGCCTGAGCTGATCTGCTTATGATAAATAATTTCATGGTTATAGGACTATCATTATTTATTTAATCTTTGAAATTGCACATTATTCCTCTGGTGGTGTCACAGGGATGGGACTGGAAGGGTTTGTTTGACCTCAGTTAACTATTGTAGTATTAAGCCCAAATCTTAACTGAGGGAGATTAAATCATAATCTATAATTTTGAAGTTAGTTTGATTCAGTTTACCATAGCTATGCTAGCCTCAACATGAACAAATGTTTCTAAATTACTTCTAGGTATATTAGAATAGGACAAAGAAGCGAAAGTGTAAGTGTGTAATCTTTCCTACATCTTGATTTTCTAAATCATTGTTTATTAAATCTGTACATAGTCAGGGTCTTGCCTGAGACACACATTGGTTGCAGTAATGAGGATATAGATATGTCAATTTATTTAATTCAAATTATTTATGTTTACAAGCCCAAATCTATTTTAAATGAACTATTTTGAACTGTAGTTTTTGTAAGAAAATATTGTATTTCTTTGATTACAATAAGGTGAAAACGGTAACCTTACGTATAGCCAATTTATACAATAATGTCATTGAAAGAGTATTTCATAAATGTAATAGATAATAGTTTGACATTTCTTCCTCTCTTCTTTACTAGGCAATTGGTTCTAATGGCCTTTTTGATGGGAAGATGGGAGTATATAGGAAAATGTAGAATGTGCTCTATGACATCAAATCTTTGTCATGAATTTTATTTTGAATGTGTAGAGACTTATGCATTTGTATATGTGTATAAATTATTTGTATAAATATATACATGTGTATGTATGTATGTATGTATGTATGTATATATATATATATATATATATATGGACAAAACTGGTCATTCACTGCCTCCTGATGATCAAGTGATATGTAAAAACCACAGGAATGTATACTCAAATAGCTTCCTCCCGCCCCCGTGGTGGAGTCATAAACCACCAGTGTGGGGGCATGTCATATATAACAGCTCTGTTTCTAATCTGAGAGCTCATACAAGGAAGGTTGTATACTGCTCATAGATAGTACATTTGTCCTTTGTAATTATAGCTTGATGAAACTGACATAAGATAAAAATTAAAGGTATTCAGGGAGGAGACATACGTTATAAAATAGTTCACATAGCTGCTGAAAAACTCACTTTTTTGTTTAGATTAGTGATAGATTATTAAGGTAATATTCCTTTGCATTAGGAAGAGGACTAAAAGTTCATATGTAGTCTGAATTGCAGACACTAATTATTTAATTGTTCCTTTCTTTGGGCTGTTAACAAAAAATAAAAATGACAATTATTTAATTAACTTTCCTTTTTTTCCCTATAGGCATATGCATCAGGATGTGACATTGTAATACTGGGGACAGATTTTGAAAGATTACAAATAATTCCTGGAGCAAAATATGGAAATATACAAGTGGGGTGTGTAGATTGCTCTATGCAGCAAGGGAAGGTAAGTAATTATGGTACTTAGGCTATATTCTAATTTTCTGTATAATATGATAGTCTATAGTAAGGGTATATCAAATTATTTAAGTACTTGCTATTGGGAGTCATTCACATGGACCTATACTTAAACAGATAAAACGTTCTTGCTGTTCTGAGTACCCAGTTCTGTTTCTAGACTCAGATGTCTTTGTTAATAATTATGTAATCCATTCCTATATGCGTATTGAGTAAAGTGAGGACAAAAGTGCTTCACAACAGCTTGGTTTCCAAATTACACTGAGACAAAGATTGTTGAGTAAGCCAAAATGGCTGAATGCATACAACATAAGACAAAACCAACAACATGATGGCCTAGTACACATGTGAATGCTGTAACAGAGAGGGTAAAACATTTTTGTTAACATGTAACACTTTAATAGGATTACATGGCTGAAATCCTGTGTGATTTCATGCAAGAACACTGAAATGGGAGATTTTGGCCTTTAAAAAATACCTTTCTTCCACAAATACTATTTAAGACTGTTTAATATCAAAGAATGCATCATTGCTGACTACTGATCTGAGCCCTTCTCTTTTCGTTCATGACAAGGTTATTTAAAAGGCAGCTGTGTCAAAATTAACATCTTGAAGTAAAGGTTTGACTGAATTTCCTGCTATTTCAAATTGGATCTCCATTGGGTATCCCTGGACACTTCCATTTATGCCTTAGGGCTACCTTCCCTAGCTGAATTTTTCTTTTGGGACTGGGTAAATCATCATGACAACTGTATTGTGAATGGGCAAACCCCTTCTGTATTATGGTCACAGCAGCCATGACATGCTTTGCAACTTCTGAATTATATTAGCATGCTGTGCAAATCTAACACTGTATACTGTAAATGAGGATGGCCTTGAGTTTCCTTGTCTCAGCCAAACATTAGTTTCTGTTTTATCTTGCTATATGTTTGTGAAAAGATTTGGTTAATAATGCATCTTTCCTCCTTTTTCTTATATCTGGAAGTGCATAGGTTTAGGAAGAGAAAGGACTTCTGGAGAAGATATTAATTTATTCATGCTAGTGAACTTGTATATTTCTTCCTCTTAGAAAGCAGTTTAAAGCCTTTTGACACCAACCAGTGGAAAAGTTCCAACACAGTTTAAGGTTTTGAACTCACATGACCTAAAATTCAACAAATTTGCTCTAGGTTTGTGGAGCAATCTGGATTTGAAGGGAAAAAATTGTTTAGAAGGTGCAAGGGCACTTTATCACACCTATGGGCAACTTCTTAAAAAAACTGCATCTTTCCTAGGCTCACATGGTTGTTGCTGAGTGAGCACAGAAAAAGATGTATTTGATTGAAGGTGTCAACAGATGTTATATGTGCATCTATACATGCTCCCAGCCAGCTTTTCCCCTTTCAATGCAGATAGCTACACAATCCTGCTTTGTTCTCCCTTATTAAGAGCCACATACATTTCATTGTAGAATCTTTGTTAAATGCTTGTGAGGAAAAATAGAAAAATGGAATGTGCTTAATGCTTTTATCCTGTGGTGGAAGAGAAAAACCAGAATCCTCAAAGTTTTGATGTGGCTACTTTGATATATATTGAAGTCTTATGAGATGTATGCACATGCCCAGAACTCCTTAGGAGGGCTTGGGTACAATCATGCCAAGCCTATGAAAAGCAGCTCTGGAAGCGTGCTTTGCTTATGAGTAAAGTGCCTCACTGAATTATTTGAACAACCCTAGTACAATAATATGTGTTCAATTCATCATTTTTATATTGTGAGTTTCAGTTTGATTCGTTCTTGGCCCAGCTTCTTACCCTCAAAAAAGCAGAAAACAAAAATGAAAATTTCTGTTTGATTGGTCCTGCAGTTTCTAGAGAGATTTCAGCAATTTATATCATGATCAGAAATTAAAAAGCATATTTTTAAAGAATGAATATAAGTGTGTAGATTATTTATATACATTAAAAAGTCCCATTTCAATAATGTAAAATAATTTATTCATTTTAGTTAATACCTAAACTGTTAATCTAATACACTGATACATAATTACAGTCATGTGAAAAAGAAAGTACACTCTCTTTGAGTTCTATGGTTTTACGTATCAGGAC